TCAGTGTCATCCTCACCAAGTGACTTTTTCTTTTCCCAAAAATGAAAAGTCTGTAGTGTGGTCAACGATTTGACAACACAGATGATGTCATTCATGAAGTGGAAGAGTGGTTTAAGGTGCAATCTGCAGACTTCTATACTAACGGTATTTGGAGGCTCAAGAAACATTGGGAAAAATGTGTAAATCTGGATGGTGACTACATAGAGATAAGTTAACAACTACAAATCAAAACAAACTTTCTGTCAATTGTTTTTAAAGGTGATAATTAAAACTGTATGATACCCCCTTGTATAGCTGTAACACTGCCAGTACTTGAACTAAATGAGAACATAAATCAAGAATCAAGAAAAAAATTATTTTAAGGAAGTAGTGTAAAGAAACACCAAGACTACAGTCTTAGCAAGTAACTCCCATTAAGCTCAATGGGACTTCTGTGTAAACAGCCATGGAACTGGACCATTAATTTTAGGGTTTTATATTTAAAAAACATAGGTGCTTGTACGGACCAGTAAAAAATTGGGGAAGATATGGCCCTCCTGCTGAAACCAACAATACTTGCCTTATTCTAGAATTTAAGCAGTTATATGTATGCTCTATTAAACAATTTTTTTCAGGAATAAAGGATCCAAACTTGTATCTTCAGGATGTATTGAATCCAAGTCATGTTGCTTTTTATCAGTAGCTTCTGTAGCATGCTCTGAACGAGTAGAATGAAGAGGAAAATGATACCACAATGTAGCAATCAATTTATCCACATTTTCACCATTATACACATGGTCAGTGAAAAAAGATTATACACATTTGCCCTGGAATAGTTTCTGTTACATGGCTATTTTTAGGAGTGATATGGTTGAGTGGAACCTCCATAAAACAATATAATTAGAGGGCTTAAGGGTACTTAGATATTTTCTGACTCATACTAATCCAAGGCTTTGCAGAGAATCTTCATACACCCTGAAGTATATCACATTGAGCTCAGAGGTTGGAGAAGTTGTTTTTGGACTACAGGTCCCAGAATGCCCCAAATATTGGAGGCTGATGGAAACTGAAACCTGACTCCATTTGAAGTGTTTTCCCAGATTGATGTGGTGAACACATGAAAAGCCATCATGGACTCCACTTCTGATCTGGTTCACACAGATGTGTTATAGGAGCACATAGCAAGCTGCCTTATCCTAATTCAGCCCACTGCCCCATTTAGCTCAATGTTGCCTACCCCAGAGAAGGAGAACGTTCAGCCTTCAGGGTACATGTGCCCCCCCCTGCCAACCCTATTCATGTAATTCTCCAAGACCCCTGGCAATCCCTTTGTGTGCCCCATAATTTTTTTTTTAAAGGAGTACACAGAAACCGTGTACATGTGCAGTGGTTTTCCTCTCCCAAGCATTTTATTAGCCAGCTTTGTTTTTAAAATGGTGGTTGGAAGTGACATGAGATCTGGTTCTGGTGCACTGAGACATGTCAGTTGTCTTGGTTAACATTGCAGTGCTGCTCTATGGTTGACTTTGGTGCACTGAGTATACTGGTACACTCATGTTAGTGCATCCTGCAATGACCTCTGCTCTTGGGCAGTTTCCCTACTCTGGTCTACACCAGAGGAACTCCTCATGGTTTTAGACAGAAGTCTTTCTCAGCTGTAGCTGGAGATTCCAGGCGTTGAACCAGGCAAAGACTAAATACAAATTAAATTCTCTGCCAGTGGGTTATGGCCCTTTTCCCAGTCTTGCAGAACAACAATCTGAAAAGGAGAAAGGAGTATAGAAAGCTGCATTACTTTGAGTCAGACCAGGTATCCAACTTTTCTAATATTGTCTTTCCAAGGTTTCAGGCTAGATCACTTCCTAGCCCTACCTGGAGATCTCTGGTATTCTGTAGTAGTGTCCCTTCCAAATAACCAACTAGGCCTGACCCTGCTTAGATTCTAACATTAGCCAAGATCAAGTAGATTTGTTCAGGGTGATTTGGAGGTATCAGCATCCTGTCTGTGCTTCTAACAGGGTGCCCCCCATCTGAAGATTTCCTAGTTTTCGGTACATATATAGAAAATGTAAACATTAAGAATGTCCCCTAATTCATGAACAAAATCAACTGTTATTTTGTTAGATTGAGCACCTAAGATGTCTATGTTTGGAGATCCTTCTTTTAAAAAACAACATGTTACTGTTGCTGTTGTCATTGTGGATGGAATTGATAAATTTAATTAAAAACCAGCACGAAAAGGCAGTTTTTAAAATGATGAATTTGGAGCAGGCAGGACATTTATAGAAGAGCAAAACTCAAGGGATAGTATAGATACTGTATCAGAACTCATGTAATCTGCAAGGTTGTTGTGTGCCTACAGGTCATTTCCAACCTTATGACAACCCTAAGGTGTCATTGAGGGTCAGTGTGGTATAATAGTTTGTGAACCTATCACAGGGTTTTCTTGGCAAGATTTGTTTAGAGAGGGTTTGCCTTGACATGCCCAAGGTCACTCAGTGGGTTTCCATGGCTGAGTGGGGATTCGAACACTAGTCTCTAGAGTCATAGTCCAGCTTTCAAACCACTACACCACACTGACTCTCCTCGGTCTGCAAAGTAGTCTTACTTTAAATGGGTTCTATAAATGAGAATCATTACATCAATCTTGAAATCACCACTATTACTGTCATGTGTTCACTTATTAGCTCCTTCTGATTTAACCAGTAGAATATAATAATAATAATAATAATACATTTTATTTTTATACCGCCCATTGGTAGTCCAATCTGGGCGGTTTACAGCATAACAATTACATATAACATAAAACAACATTTTCCCTCCCACTTAGGCTAGGCCCGATGGAGATGGGCCTGCATCTCTCCCCCAGATATCAGATGGAGTGGAGGGAGGGCTCTTCTTCTTAAGCTAGGCCCGATGGAGATGGGCCTGCATCTCTCTCCCAGATTAATTTTGCACTTATCTCTTACATGCCTATAATTCATTGGAAGATATGTGCTAATTAAAGTAGATGTTGAGTTTAAAAAAAATGGAAAACATGTTGGCACCTCAATAGCTGTCAACTCCCCCCATTAAAAAAAAAAGCACAGAGAATGTTGTTTATAAAAGGCATCCATGTCTCTGTGCTGCTAGGTGGCTAATGTGAGCCAAATAGGCTAACCAGCCTATTATAGGCAACCAATACCTTTCCATCCATTGTGCAGTCCTAGCATCTCCAGATGACATGACCAGTAAGTAGTTATGATGGGAATTTTCACTACAACAGATGAAATATTTCCTTCATGAAGTGCAAAATGTTGTTGAACACAGTCTTGCCCAACAACAGGCTAAGTCCAGGTATCACATACCAAATTAGCTTAACTGAAAAAAAAAAATCAGTTTTGGCATTGATAACTTGTTTAAAACTAAGCCTGTACTTTTCTCCTGTACAGTCCATCATAACCACTGTGTGCTTCTAGTACTGAATGAAAAATGGATACAAATCTTGGTAGTTTCCGTAGTTGTGCAGAAAACTACTGTTTCAAGAGCACTTGTTACTTTATGTAATGGATATGCCCCACTTGTTGTGATGTAGTGCCACAGCCATTGAAGTAAACTAGGGAAGACTCTTGTATGTGATAGATTGATGTGGTGAACACATGAAAAGCCATCATGGACTCCAATTCTCAAAATGTTTTAGACACATTGTTTTAACAGATTGCAATGTTCAGCAGATTTCCATGGTAGAAAAGATTTGTGTAATATATGAAGACATGGATAGTCGGTGACAAATGGAAACAAGACAGCAAGGTCCCCTGTTAGTAGAGTATCCAACTGTAATTAGTTTCATGCATGTGCAGAAATGTGTTATTTTATAAAAAGTTATGAATAAGTTACCTTTACCTCTTTTGAAGTTTGATGTGATTGTTTTTTCTGCTTTGGTGACATCCATTGGATTTGCAATCTTGCCTGAAGAGTATACTGTTGGTTGTTGTTGTTGTTGTTGTTGTTGTTGTTGTTGTTGTTGTGTGCCTTCAAGGCATTTCTGACTATGGCAACAATGGCTAATCCAGGATTTAGACCCTGATTTCCTAAATCCTGGTCCAACACTCAAACTACCCATACTGGTTTGGCTCTCTGATCATAGGGGTTGCAGGGATGGGAGTGGGGACTCTTGTGTACTTCAGGTGTTAGAAATAGAAATGGATATTCAGGTCTTCTACATGGTCATTGGCATGATATCACAGACTGAGGAAGTCACTCATTCATGGTTCTCTAGCCCCTAAGTATAATTACCCTGACAAATTCTTCAAAACCATTGCCTTCAGGATGATGGTTCTGTGTTTCCTCATTATTAGGTAGACTTCCCACAGAGTATGAAACATATGTCTAGCAATAGCTGATAAGGGTGTGTGTGTGTGTGTGTGTGCATTTCTAACTTAATCTATCATGGAATTTTGTTGGCAAAATTTGTTTAGAGGAGGTTTGCCATTGCCTTCCCCTGAGGCTGAGAGCATGTGATTTGCCCAAGGTCACCCAATGGGTTTCATGGCTGAGCAATAATTGAACCCTGGTCTCCGGAGTCATAATCTAACACTCAAACCATTATGCCATGCTTGCTCTGAAATAGATCCTTTTATATTCTACTGAACAAAATAATTTTCTCTCTAGCATATGAAAATATATGGTTTATTTGTAATGCCACAGAAATCTTTGTTGATTTCCTCCCTTAAATTATCTGCTGAACTTTCTGCATCCAGTGCTGTACGCTTATTTCAGTGTATGGACTTGTTAAATCAGTTCTTTCTTTGCTACTGGCCTGGAAGGAGAGAGAATCTAGTATTCATAGTTGACTGGGACATTACATAGTTCCTTTGCATAGGCTGCCAAAGAGGGGATCCAATTAATGACAATTGTGATGTTCATTTTCTTTTCCAGGGACACCTGTCCAACTTATTTCACACTAGACATCTAGCAACTATTAGGAACAAATGACTGTTAGTACAGAAAAGTGGTTGATACAGTGGGTGGATTATCACATGGGGTAAAAAGTGTTAGAGAAGCGCATTGTTACTGTCATTATTCTGCTATTGGGAGAAAGATTTTCACACGACGTCGTTCTACTATCATTCTTGTAATGTCCTGGAAGTGTCCTGCATAACTCAATGATGATAAAAAAAAATCATGCAAATGTGCTTTCTTACTGCTTGTGAATCATGGCCCGTTTTTTTTACCAGTGTGAAAGTAAGTGTTTTAATATCACCATTGTATCGTTCTTGCTTAATAACATTAGAATAACAGTTTTTAAACTTTAATAGCCCTCGTGAGATAATCTCCAATGATTTGAACTGCTTACAGCATTCTTCTTCTAAGTTCATTCATGTTTTGCTGCTTTGATACCTTTGCTTTTGCTTTATTTTGCTTTATTTCGTTTTATTTTTAAACCTGAAGTTTTTGTTGTACAGCTGAGGCTCCTTGGACTTTCTTGCTTATGCGTGGGTGAATTTGAGTACGTAATTTTAGGACATCTTTTCGAATATACATCAGAAGCTGCCCTGCATGAAACAGTTGCCTGGTGTTTAAATTTTTTGACACATAATTTCTGCATTTCAGAATGGAAGGGCAAATTCCCTCAGCTAGGTTGGATCCTCAAAACTGTGTTTGGTGTGATAATTGAATTCTAAAAGACATAATGGAATGTGATTACGTAAGTAGATTGGTGGAACAAATAATTATCTCCTCCCATTCCCATCCACTATCTCCTGCAAATGCCCTGCTGAGTCTGGTGGTGGTGGTGGTGGTGGTGGTGGGGATTCTTTTAGTTTTGAAGATAGCTTGGTGAGATTAAACATAGCCTGGGAGGGGCATTTCTGGAGACATTAGGTAGGTGAGAATTAAATTAATGGAGGGCTAAATATTTTTCATATTTCATAGGAAGGAACAGGCAAAAGCACCTCTATGTATTCTTTGCCTAAGAAAACCATATGAATTTCATGGGGTCTTTATACATTAACAGATGACTTGAAGGAGCATATGCACAGATAGACACAAATGTCTTCCTGTCATCCATTGCTTCTCTTCATAACTTTCCCCTTAATTTTACCAAGGGACCCACAGCATTACTAACCGAAGCCTGTGCATCTCTATCTCTCTTGGCCTTCAAGAAAATGGTCAAGACTCATTTATTTTCCATGGCCTTCCCTTGAGTAAAGGCATATGAGCATGGTGGGGGCTTGTTGACAGTCTCACAACTGCTGATAGTTCTGATAGTTTGTTTGATTTTAATGTGAAGGGAGGGGTTGGAATATCTTCTTATTTTATTTATTTCCAATGTGTTTTTTTTTAAAAAAATAATTTGGTCGGGTTTTTTCGTCAAATGGTTCTTTTGTGTTGTTAATCTTGTGTGCGTCCCTCAAAAGATTCAGTATCCTAAATTCAGTCTAAAAATATTTTTTAAAAAAATTGACAAATTTTTTTTGTAAGCCTCTTACGTATACAGTTGCCCCTCCATTCTCACAGACTTGAGATCCGCGGTTTTGAATATTCATGGAGGAGCAACCTCAGTTAAGATCAATGGGGTGTGCCCATGGTGGTGGTGCACCCCATTCAAACCTATGGGGCTTGCATATCAGCGAGTCTCCATTTTCATGCGGGGAGGGGTCCGGAACAGATCCCCCATGAAAACGGAGGGCTGACTGTAGTCTTCCTTATCCATAGTTTAAATTAAAATGATCCATGTTTGGACTTAGGTGGTTTGTTATTATGAGGTGGAGTCTCATTTTCATAGTTAATGAATAACAATAAATAATTGTGATAGAGGCTATTTTTAGTTGGAAAGTGGCATTTAAATACTTGAAAACAATATTTTATTTTAAAAAAATTGTATATGTGGCCATCTGAACCCCTTTAATAAATAAGGATAGAGGATGAGGATTACGTGAACCATAGTTGGTTGACAGGACTTTGAGATGCTTGTTATCGTGATTATCAAATGTTATGCTTTTTTCCCCTCCTTCTCTTTCTGTACATATCTCCATATGCAGTTTTGATACTGAAGGATATTTATCTTTTGAATTAGCCATAGTAGTGGGTACCAAAGTCTTGTACACCTTTTCACTATATGCAAATATAATGTTCTTTCATTAGTTTATTTGTTTAAAATTGAAGGAATAGAGTTTCAGAGATTCCTGGAAGCAATTCATGGCTTTGTGGAATCAATTGGTATTTTTACATCTGTGCTTTCTCAAGATATAGCAAGTCAGTTATTTTTCCAAATGTAGATTATAAATGAATACCACTGATAGCAGTTGTTCAAACTTCCATTTAATTACATTTATAATAGTCTCTTGCCTATTTTGTTTCATAGGACTGGGAAGAAAAAATGTGTTAAAATTGGAGAAATTAGTTTTTTATAGGTTCTATAAAATCAGAGCTTGAAAAGTTACTTATTTGCACTACAACTTCCAGAATCCCCCAGCTAGTTCTGATCTCATGCAGATAGTGGGCTAAATGGCCAATCTCAAATGTTTAGTGATGTACCTCTCCAAATTTACCAAAATTATTAACCAAAATAGACTTGTTAGATGACAAGATAGTCCATAT